CTAATTTAAATAAAGAGTACAGCAAACAGGAGATGAGCACTTCATTCTCTAAAACGAAACTATTTATTTTATTTCACCAGGTAAGGCCCACTGAGCTCTATCGCTCTTTTTCAAATGATAGCTCAACAAAGTGGCCTATCATGTGAAAAAGTCTCGTGACATTTCAGGAGGCTCCTCGCCAACTATTTGCATTCGTGGGGGCAATGCACGCTACTTAGATTCCAATTGAGTCACTTGCCGGTCATTTTGAAACGTAACAAAGGCGGATCCAGACGTCGGGCATGCAACGGCCTAACCCTTGTGAATGACATCAGGGCATCTCAATGTTCACCTGGAGGCGGATGGCGCGCACAGTATTTTTGTGTTTAATTCACGCGCAGTATTAATCGGGGCGAACCGTCAACCTCTGCGACAAACAAGTGGGGAAGGCGGTACCGATATGGCCGTGTCCCCACCCTCAAGGGTCATCCACGTGACCTCGGGGAGAGAGACACACGTTCCAAATATACAGCAAGAGGCAGGGTCAGGATCGAACCCACGGTTCTCCTGTATACCAGGCGATGGAGTTAACATCTCGCCACCGTGGCACCCTCGTTGGAGGAGTGACTCTGACCTGAACGACTGCTCTGTCCGGTCAAACCCTAGCCCAGCGATCGTATCAGGGGAGCAATCGACACCGAGACACTGCGGACGACGCCACAATGTACGCGCGTTTCTACAGCGATAACCCCCCCCCCCTCCGACGAGGAGATAGCGCGATGAAATCTGCTCGCGTGCAGGCGCTCGGTGGATTGTTACACCATCGGGTCGCGAGAAATGGCGGACACCTTTGTGGAGGCCTTCATCCAGCAGTGGATTGAGCAGCAACGCAGGATTACGACGATGAACATCTCCGTGCACGCACTGTGTGTCAAGTAGAATCGTGAAAAACGCCTCTTTTTCATTCAGCGGCACAAGTCACTGACACCGCAACCTTCGTAACCTTGCCAACGCGCTGTCAAGGAGCGATTGCATACTTGCGTCGCTATTAAAGTGATTCATGCGGAACGCTCAATCTTTTAGAACTCCTCTCCAAATAACTGTCAAAATAACGGCTCTTTACAATTGTAAGTACCCTAATAAATCCGACGGCACCTGTTTTGCATGCCCTTTCGGCAGAAGCAGATGGCGTTGAGACTGTCATACACAGCAGAAATTAGCGACACCGCATGCAGCGTTTCAATGCGGAAATCCCTTAATTGAATTTTCTTTCTTGCTCTGTGGGACCACCGAACAATTTCGACGTCTCCAATCCGCTTCAATGGCGATACATTCCTCAGGATTGTATCGCTGTACAGCGAGGGAAAAAAAGTATTTGATCCCCTGCTGATTTTGTACGTTTGCCCACTGGCAAAGAAATGATCAGTCTATAATTTTAATGGTGGGTTTATTTGAACAGAGACAGAATAACGCACAAAAACATCCAGAAAAACGCATGTCAACAATGTTATAAATTGATTTGCATTTTAATGAGGGAAATAAGTATTTGACCCCGCAAAACATTTGTTGGCAATCACAGAGGTCAAACGTTTCTTGTAGTTGGCCACCAGGTTTGCACACATCTCAGGAGAGATTTTGTCCCACTCCTCTTTGCAGATCTTCTCCAAGTCATTACGGTTTCGAGGCTGACGTTTGGCAACTCGAACCTTTAGCTCCCTCCACAGATTTTCTATGGGATTACGGTCTGGAGACTGGCTAGGCCACTCCAGGACCTTAATGTGCTTCTTCTTGAGCCACTCCTTTGTTGCCTTGGCCGTGTGTTTTGGGTCATTGTCATGCTGGAATACCCATTCACGACCCATTTTCAATGCCCTGGCTGAGGGAAGGAGGTTCTCACCCAAGATTCGACGGTACATGGCCCCGTCCATCGTCCCTTTGATGCGGTGAAGTTGTCCTGTCCCCTTAGCAGAAAAACACCCCCAAAGCATAATGTTTCCACCTCCATGTTTGACGGTGGGGATGGTGTTCTTGGGGTCATAGGCAGCATTCCTCCTCCTCCAAACACGGCGAGTTGAGTTGATGCCAAAGAGCTCCATTTTGGTCTCATCTGACCACAACACTTTCACCCAGTTGTCCTCTGAATCATTCAGATGTTCATTGGCAAACGTCAGACGGGCATGTATATGTGCTTTCTTAAGCAAGGGGACCTTGCGGGCGCTGCATGATTTCAGTCCTTCACGGCATAATGTGTTACCAATTGTTTTCTTGGTGACTATGGTCCCAGCTGCCTTGAGATCATTGACAAGATCCCCCCGTGTTGTTCTTGGCTGATTCCTCACCGTTCTCATGATCATTGCAACTCCACGAGGTGAGATCTTGCATGGAGCCCCAGGCCGAGGGAGATTGACAGTTCTTTTGTGTGTCTTCCATTTGCGAATAATCGCACCAACTGTTGTCACCTTCTCACCAAGCTGCTTGGCAATGGTCTTGTAGCCCATTCCAGCCTTGTGTAGGTCTACAATCTTGTCCCTGACATCCTTGGAGAGCTCTTTGGTCTTGGCCATGGTGGAGAGTTTGGAATCTGATTGATTGGTTCCTTCTGTGGACAGGTGTCTTTTATACAGGTAACAAGCTGAGATTAGGAGTACTTCCTTTAAGAGTGTGCTCCTAATCTCAGCTCGTTACCTGCATAAAATACACCTGGGAGCCAGAAATATGTTTTATTGATAGGGGGTCAAATACTTATTTCCCTCATTAAAATGCAAATCAATTTATAATATTTTTGACATGCGTTTTTCTGGATTTTGTTGTTGTTGTTGTTATTCTGTCTCTCACTGTTCAAATAAACCTACCATTAAAATTATAGACTGATCATTTCTTTGTCAGTGGGCAAACGTACAAAATCAGCAGGGGATCAAATACTTGTTTCCCTCACTGTACATACGTATGCATTCAATTATTTATTTCCCTTTCTTCCGGCCAAAACAAAGCTCCAGCGCTCGCACAGAAGGCGGCCCCCCGGGACGACGACTGTTGAAATCGGCTCGTGTTTCGGTGCTGGCTGGATTGACGCATCGCGCGACCATTTGGGTGGGGGGGGGGGGGGGGTGGAAGGCGACGGCGGTGGCCTGTGGTGGCCTTCATCCAGCAGCACACTGACGATGTCTAATGACGACATCGAACTAAAAAAGGCCACACGATTAGGGTCTTCAATCGACTATCTGTGGACTTCATTTAGATCCGTCACAGAGTCAAATAATCGCTCATTCTAATGTGAAGGATCCAGGGATGGCATCCCCTCCCAATGTATTGATGATGAGTGACATACATCCTATGCCCTTTGACCTCGGTTAAAAAATATCTGTGACCAAGTCCCCTCAACAATCTCATGGGGGTTTAAGAAATGTCTGAACGCTAGTCGCATTCCTCTGGCATTTGAGCTGAATAAATAATGAACAAAAATCCAAATAACATGTTTGGTACAACTTGAGTCTCTGGGCAGCACCAAAAATGATTAAATGTCATGGGCATTGACTGCCATCATGAGAGAATGTGGCAGTGCGATATTAACCATCCAGACACACTGAGAAGTTCTCAATGGCAGCAGTGCTCTTTGCGGAGAACATCCAGGGGGAATGCTCGGTGTGTGTGGGTGTCAGCGACTCGTTTGATTTCACTTGACCACTGCTTTTACTTGAACACGTTTAAATATGTCCTTTCTTGGCATATACCAGCCAACAAGCAAGCAACCGCCAGGGGCCTCAGCCGAGCGGAAACATAACTGAACCGGGGAGGGAAGTTAAGCCAAAGCAATACGGCCAGTGAGTATTCTTCGTTTAACCAGCAGATGAAATAACCCATTGAACCGCACGAAACATTCCCTCTTCTACATGGGAAACTTGGTTTAACATCAATGATGACAATTCCCTTAATCTAGAAAAAAAAACACATCGAATCTGAAGATTATTTTTTTAGGAGGGACCTGCATTGGGAAGTTTGGCCAATTCCATGAATGGGTGTTTGGAGGAAATCAGAGCATCCTTCAACATTTTTTCTTGCGGTGGTGTTTCCACCTGATGTGGATTGCTTGTGTTTCAATCGAAACGTCGTGATTTGTTTTATTTTATATTATTTTATTTCTACCTACGTGACTTTAACGGAAGAACCAAAGAGTATGGAAACCAGAGTTTTCCAGTGAAAATCCACCACGTGCATTACGGTGTAAATACTCAAAGCTCGGCAGAGATGGATTCAATCCACTGCTGAAATGCAATCTCATAGCCAACTCACAGCCTAAGCCTGCAATCACCTGGTCTTCCGAGGCAGTCTGACATTTAGGATTTAGCCAGGCCTCAACTCTGTTAAGTGTCCGGCGAGATCGGGCACACTCCGAGAGATGTGATCGTGGAAGAACGTGGCCTGATCTAACCAACATCCTCTGCTCATGCGATGTAAACAAAAATAACCACCCCCCAAGCAAGTGAAAATAAAAAAGAGACATTGCTACGCAACGTTTGCAGAGTTGTGCTCATTAATCACGGTCCCTGGGTAATCATAGGGAGCTGCATCTTGCTGACAATGCTCCAAACCCAAGGAGCATAGAAAATGTGTAGTGTAATGCATTGCAACAATATATATTTAAAATTAACAGCGCATGCTGGCCAACACTGCAGTGATGGGGGGGGGGGGGGGTGACATGGATGTTTAAGAGCACAAAACTCACAACTCCCACCTCCTTTTCTCCACTCTCCCGCCCCATCACCCTTCCGCATGAGCATACTGTCTCTACCTGACAAGCGTCAGCTCTCGGTGACTACCTGCATTTATTCAGCGCAAGGAGGTAGATGATGTGGTGGACCCGGGGAAAGCCTGCTGTTCTGCGTTGCCCAACCCGATTAGTCTTGCCTGGGGAAAGAGGACGGTGGGAGGGAAGGTTTGGGGAAGGAGTGGGGTGGAGGTCGGTGGGCGGGGGGATAAAGGGCGGGGTGGGGGGGGGGCTTTCTCGGCTGTTTGATCCATACCTGCACGTGTCGGCTTTGCTGCAGGGAAGCTGGCGGTGGGATGGATTGTATTGGGGTGATCTGTGCTTCCGACAACAGCAAAACAAAAAAAACGTGCGTGCATGCATGCAAATGGTAAATGACAAAACAAAAATTCCGAAAAAAATTTCAAGATCATTTTTAAATCATAAATTATGAAAGCATTTGTTATCGTGGAAACGTTTATATATGTATGAATTGTAAAAAAACACGTAGAGACACAACCACAACAAAAACACACAACAATAACCACACACTCATGCAAAGCAAAAAAAAACTTCTTCACGACTATATTGGTTCATCTGTTCTGGCAGGTGCTCGTGTTGTTTCTCACAAGTACAACCACCATCGCCCTTGCACCTCCCCCCCATCCCTCAAAAGGCCCCTGGGATTGGGAACACAAAGGCACCAGTGTGCATTGGCACGAGGTGCAGGCGGGAATGAGAATGTGGCGGCTGGGCAGTAGGGATTGGGGTTCGGGGATTTGATGGTAGGCATGGGGGTGTGGTGGTAGGCATCAAGGCGGGGGGGGGGGGTGTGGTCGTGGAGGTGTAGTGCCTGGGTGGTCATGATGGTTGGGTGTGATGGCTGGAAGGTAGGCAAGGGGGTGTGATGGTTGGCTGTTAGGAGTGGGTGTGGCCTCATATTTGGAGTGCCGAAGTGGCGAGATGTTAACTACCTCGTCTGGTATACAGGAGGTAGTGGGTTCGATCCTGCCCCTGACGTCTGTATATTTGGAGTTTGCAAATTCTCCCCTTGGTCGCATGGATTTTTCTCCGGGTCCTCAAAATTTTCCCTCCATATTTAGAAACATGCATTTAGAGTATTTGGCTGCTCGTAAATTTCCACACGATAAGCCACTTCGTTGGGCTATCATTGTATGGCCAGGTCGCTTCTGGGCCTTATGTGGTAAAATCAAATAAATGTGAAATAAAAAATATATATTTATATTGTAAGGCTGTGAATTCACATATTTCTGGACGATCAATTTAATGAGTCCCACTTTGTGGGGCAAGTCAACAACAGTTTTAATTTCGGAAGACTTGTCCCTGCCATAGGAACGTGAAATTTCCACCACTGGCTCAGGGCCATAAACAAGTAGTGCCCTATGCTCCGTTGAGTGGGAAAGCACTTTAGATTTTGATTTACTGGTTATTCGCATGTGTGCTTAAAATTGCCTGTAATGTGAGTGATGCATTAGTTGGGTTAACTGCTCATGCGTAGGGATGACATAGGGCAGTCCATTCTCGCCTTTCATCTCCTCAGGATGGCTATGGAAGTGATGATTATTTGTGCACGTTTAAATGGAAGAGGGGTTTTTTTAAAGGAATTAAGAAAACCACAAAAATAATCACGAAAAATGATATCTTGGTATTTTTATGAATGTGTTTTCTCCCCAAAAAATAACTACACAAAAACTACTGTTAACCGAAAAAACTATTAATCAAATATAGGAATGACATGTTAAAAGCATTCATCCATTCCACGACGATCAGAAGTTGACCCGAGTCTCCAAGGGACCTTTTTTCCACTGCCAAAAACAGAAAACGTAAAGTAAACAAAGTCAGTCGAGGTCTAAACACTCATAGATGGACGTCGCTGATTGGCTAAGAGCATGGCTCAGGCCCACTTTCGAGCACTTGGATTGGCCGAAATTGGCACCTGCGTGCATAACATAAATGTACCGTTCAACATTTTAACATTAGTCGAAACTATGGGATCCTATGGGAGGCGAAACAATAACCCAAAAACCATTAACCGATGTCACTGTTAACCGAGGGACTACTGTACTCCATCGTTTTCACATCACGAGAGAAGCAGTCTCGCCGAATATAACAGAACTTGAAAGTTATTCCTACAAATGTGCCCTCTGCTTGTCCCTTAAGATATGATTGCATACTAACTTGCGCATACACATTACTTTTCGAAAATATCCGCAAGCGAGAATGTAGTAATGAGACACGGCCGCAAACGTTCAAAATGGTTACATTCAACCAAAAAGAGGACCTGGAGACTGTCCACAGCAGGTGTGGAAAATGTCCTCAGTGAGGTGGGCTGACGCAATATAATTATAGGCAAAGTTCACTTTGTGTAACCAGCCGAGATCTCGAGAGACCAAGGATGAGTCTCAATTGCAAGAGTGAACCAGGGCATTATTTACCGACCCACACTGACTGGTGCGGTGAAATATGGTGAAACAAGTAACCTCCATGAGTGACGCGACAATGTGGGGAGGGCGCTCATCCACACAGTCGTTGATTTACGAATAAATATTCTGTGTTTGTTATTCCAACTCTCGTTTACCCAGGAACGCCCCAATGAGTCTCGTGACTCTTTCAGGAGGGTCCTTGCCAACTTTTTGCATTCGTGGGGGCGATGAACGCTCCTTAGATTCCAATTGAGTCATTTGCAGGTCATTTTCAAGTGTAACAACCGCGGATCCAGATGTCCCGCATGCAACGGCCGAACCCTTGTGAATGACATCAGGGCATCTCAATGTTCACCTGGAAGCGGACGGCGCGCACATCATTTTTGTGGTTAATTCACGCATAGTATTAATCAGGGCGAACCATCAACCTCTGCGACAAGCAAGTGGCGATGGCGGTACCGATTAGGCCGTGTCACCACCCTCAAGGGTCATCTGGCCCGATTCACCTTCATCACCATCGCCCCGCCTCCGTCTCACGATCATTCATCAAACCCATCAACGCAATCGCTCGGCCTTCCTTTGCCTTCATCATCAACCGTCGCCTGCTGCGCACGGCGCGCGCGAGCCCGCAGGCCCGGCATTGCGCTGGTTCTTACAACGTTTGGAGCATCAAAAAGCCTGTCGGAAAAGATTACGTGCAATGTGGAGAAGAAAAAAAGTCATGGCACAAACTACACGCCCCGTGTATCTGTGGGGAGCGGGCCACTCCCCACTTCCTCCCAGGGGCTCCTCCACGCAAGCCACGCCTCCAAATTCGTGATTGACGCCATTACAAAAAAAAAGAGGGTAGGACGTTTTTTCCGCAGTTATGCAATTGACACAAATTATGCGGAAGCATTCCGCCGCCAATGGTTACGGAGCCCGAGCCCAACCCCAAACCGGGTTTGGCTCTCCCGCGCTTGCGGCAAGAGGAGCGGCGGAACTTGGGGTGGATGTACATTTCAAAAGGCATAATTTGTCGGAATGGCGGTAAAAATAGCTCCACAAATCAGGCCTTATTGCATGCACCTAAAAGAAATACATAAAGCACCACCCACATGAACTTATTCATCAGCGAGCACATAAAAACACATCGGATAAAATGAACGCGCAGAGATCTCTAAAATTGCGGTAAGCTTCTTGGGAGGCACGGCTGAAATAAGAAATGAAAGACATGCAACGGATCATAACCACGCCGACGATAATGCTAGATATGAAAAAAATACTTTGTTTTGAAGAGCAAAGAACCTGCTGAGACGGACAGATCAAACATGAGCGCAATAGAACAAGGGGAAACGGCTCTGAATCTGAAGTGTGTGCGAGGGATGGAAACAAAACATTTTCATTCATACGAGAACGAGGCGACCGAATAACAGAGACAGCTCCGTCAGACGCCAATCTGGTTAGGGCAGAGGCGAGCGAGCTCGGACGAGAGACGTCGTGCGGTGGAATCTCGAAGAGCGAAGGATGCGACTCACAACGGAGGGGGGGGGGGGGGGGAGTGGGGGGGGGGACACATTCTCTCGGGAGCGAGGCGACGGAGGGGAAATGGTAAAGGTGAAACGAGGACGTGAGTTAGAGCGAGATCGATTACATCTAGAACGCTGGAGATAAGCGCATCTGCCGTCGAGCGGCGAAACGAAATTTTACGAATAAATGCGCATTAACATTCGTGCTTAAAGGGAAGGCAAACGCTGGAATGAAAGGAAAACTGAAGAAGAAAAAAACGTGTCGCAATGGGCTGAATGTGCTCTCCGTGAGATGTCAATATTTGAAGTCAGGCCCAATATTCATGCATACTCGATGAGGGCTACTTAACGCATACAGCAATTACCGATCGAACGTTACATTTTCTCGGCTGTATTCATCACAAGTGAACTCACTGTTAGCCATGTCAACATCTAATGTCTAAATCCAATCTGGAAAAATTACAGGGTGCCATTTACCGCCGCACTGTCGGTTTCTTTTTGACGATGACGGCCGTGAGGATCATATCAGAAGGGAAAAAAAAAACAACAACCCAGCACATCAATGCAATCGTGAAAAAAATAGCAATTGCAGAAAATGTGACAGCGAAAATGCATGCATCACTTGGGATCCGTTAACAAGTTGGACAAATTAATTTAGAGAAAGAAAACCACGAAGGGAGAAAGAGGGGACGTGAAAGAGTGAAGTTGGCACGCGTCAACTGCCAACAATCGCATTTTGTTTCCCGTACACCAATTAGGAGCCCTCCCGGGGGGGGGGGGGGGCAGCTGTCAATCATTTTCGCCGACCTGATTTTGATCATGTCGGGTGAGGGAGGGAGGGAGGGAGGGGGGGAGGGTCGCGACACTTTGGTAAATGGCAACGGGCTCTCTCGGGAGGGTGCGTAATGTGAGCGGCGATGGGCTAATGCCGCCGCTGTGCGTGGACGCGAACGCACGAGAGCGGAGGGCCGGGGAGGGGCCGGGGGGCGGGGGGAAGGGGGAATATAGGTCGCGCGCGCGCGTGCAGCAGCAGCAGCAGCAGAATTTGAAGGTCAAATCGAGTGACTCATATGTCACGGGCAGAAATCAGGGGAATCAACCGCGGCGCGAGTTCAAAACCTTCAGTGTCTGGTGGTGTCGTTGGCGGGAGTGGCGGCGGGTGGCCCACTATTTAAAAAAAAGTGATCTGCATTACGGGATAAACAAACACGTTGACGCACGGCGCGGTATATCGATGAGGAGAGACACACGCGTGCGCACGCGCTCGTCCGTGCGCGCGATCGCAGAGACGTGCGCCGCATGACAAGCGGTGCCTGCGCATAACGGAACTCCGAAATGTGTTTATCGATTGGCACACCGCTGAAAAGTCTGATGTGGGGGCAGAGGGGGGGGGGGGGGGCGGGCAACGGTGGGCGGTGGCTGGGCTTGTCTGTTACGCGGATCGTAGTAAGTTACGTTCGGAACGTGGGGCGGTCAGAGAGGAGCGGGCGGGGGGTGGGGGGGTGAGGACGTGGGGGGGGGGGGGAGGGAGAGGCGAGGGCCGGGCTGTGGCGTTGACGGCTCACCTTGCACGACGAGGGTGTACTCGTCGGTGGAGGAGCCCACGCGGTTGCTCGCCTCGCAGCGGTACGTGCCGTTGTCCGTCTTGTTGAGCGCCGCCAACAGCAGCTTGGTGCCCGATACGTTGGCGCGCTCGGGCATCTCGCCGTCGACGCGCACCCACTGCACCCGCTCGGGGCTGCGCGAGCCACAAGCCGGCGTCGGCGCACGCCGCGCACACACACACACACACGCACACACACACACAGACACACACGCACACACACACACATGCACACACACACACAGACACACACACACACAGACACACACACACGCACACACACACACAGACACACACAGACACACGCACGCACACGCACACGCGAGGACGCACAAAGACAGCCAAAGTATGGCCTCTAGCAGACTTTTGGGGGCAAGTTCTGTGAGCGAGTAGCACCAATGAAGAGCGGCACGGTTTACGAGAGGGTGGTTAGCCAGCACCAGGCCCGACCGCCTTTGTTTCCCCAGCGGCGATGTTTTTTTATACACCGCACCAGGTACTCATTTGACACCGGGTCGGTTCAGATAATCGTCACTAGTGTTGGCCGTGAGCAGGAATAGTACTCGGGTCGCTGGGTTCGTAGGGCTGCGCCATAACCGCTGCACTATTGAACGAATGCGCGCGCGCGTGCACACACACGTGCACGAACGGCTTCGTATGAGCAGGACAACTCTGAATAATTGAGCGTCTCGTGAATGACAATTTACACTTTGTATTGGTGGGCCCCTCCAATTCACGTGGCAGCGGTGCTATGGCCCCCAGGGAGCAACGGGCCACGGGGTTGCCTGCAGGCGCTGCGAACGTATTTCCCCGTTGTACACACCGACGCAAAAAAATGTCTCACAAACCTGAATTGTATTCTTGTTATTGTACAGCAGTGGTCGCGATTTAGTAACGCGGGCTAGCGACCCAACCGCTTCGCAGTTGTAAGGGCAGTTTAACAAGAAAAATAATGTACGTGTTTGCATTGGATGTAATTTTCATACGCGACGTATTAAAAAACATAAATCATTAATTGCACCGTCTGCAATAATTTTTTTTTTATTTTCCGCTAAAACGCGGCAGGCTACAGTTCAAGGGAAAACTCTCTCGCGACAAAAAAGATGAATGCAGCTAATACCACAACAAACATATTCACTCCTGCGACATTGCCCCAACCACGGTTATTAACCCATTTATTAAGAATTTGGAGGAGAACAAAAGTTGATTTTAATATCAAAATATTATTTGCGTCGACCTTTCCAATCGGGGGGTGGGACTTTTCTCATAGAAGCATTCACAAACGCTTGCAAACGTTGTCCCAAAATATTAGAATAATGTATTATATTAATATGTTAACCATTTCCTAATCCGTCCTACAGGACATGATCGAGGCATGGACGGGTTGAAGGATCAATTTTGTTTAAAATCAATCAGTTCGCAGCTGACTTTGTTCCCCAGAGGTGACAGGCTGGAAAGAGGAGGAGGGTGATGGTTGGGGAGAAGCCATTAGGGTTGCTGAAAAGCAATCGACCACGATTTAGTACAGGGCTTAGGGCGGAACGTGGCAGAGCATAATTGGAACTCGATCGAAAAAAACAAACTTTAATGCTAAATACGCGGGCAGGGAAGAGGGGCGCACGGTCACACCTGGGCTTGCTTGTGGCGTTGCAGATCAACTCCAGTTTGTCTCCCTCGCGGACGCTTCTGCTGGAAGCGATGATGTTGATGATGGGTTTGTCTGTGACAAGAAAATTGCGGATTTTTTTTGTTTCTTTCCACGAGCTCTTTAGTAATTAAATAGACAGGCGAGAGCAAAGCGGCATCCACTCATGCACGGTCACAGCCCCCCAACCCACGCACACACAACGGCAGCTGTGCAATTCGGCGGTGACATTCGCCGCGGCTGCTCGTGCCAGGCTAGGTGCACTCGGAGGCCGCGAGCAGTGGCGAAGGCTCGATGGTGGCAGATTATTGATTACCATTATTAATATTGGGAGATTATTGAACCACCCCCCCCCCCCCACATGGGTGAGTGGCAGGTGCACCGCCCACACGCTCCACCGAAACAAAGTCGCCGCGTTATTACCCAGCAATTCATGCAAGCTGAACTCCCACACTTCCCATTGTTATAAACAACGACAAGCGGCGTTAGCGAGTAGCACCTATGAAGGCCAGCAAGGCACACGAGGGGGTAGGGTGGCCAGCACCATGCCCGGCCGCCTTTGTCTCCCAAGTGGTGATGTTTGCACATCGCATCGGACCTCATTTGAGGCTGCGTCGACCTAGGGGAGGCCCAGGACCCGTTTAGATAATTGCCACTGGTGTTGGACATTAGCGGGAATCGAACTCGGACGGCTGGGTTCATAGGGCAGCGCACAATCCGCTGCACTACCGCTGCCCGCACACACACAGACACACACAGACACACGTGCACATTGAAAGATGAAAGATTCCCCATATAACTATTCAGACCGCTCCCGCCATAAAGACAAAGATCCCCCATATAGCCTTCACAGACTATCGGGGCAAGTGCTGTTTGCGAGAAACTATGAAGGCCGGCACGGCACGCGATGGGATGGGTGGCCAGCACCACGTGAACGCTCACACAACACACGACACAACACACAGGATACAAGCATGTACAGGGCTTGCAAAAAAAAACACAAGGACTGTGTGCGACCGTCGATGCGTCTTCACACTGCGCACGCATCGCGAGCCTCGCGAATTAAACACCGCCGCTGCAGGGCTTGCGAGGCCTCCATGTTCCCGTTTTCCATGGCTCGTGGCGAGGAACGCATTAAGCCCACAGCCACAACCAAAGGACGCGACGCGACGCCAGACAATAAATAATTAAACTTCAGTTGCGCATGCGAGACGTCAAGAAAAGTAAAAAATTTCTGAAACACTGCACGAAAAAATTGAATACCCCGCTGGCATAAAGGAATACATTTCTTAACAACGGTGGACAAAACTGAGCTGCGTTTAGCGGAAACGTCGTGTATATATATTCAAATGTCACGCGAAGCATGTCCACACAGCTTAACGGCTTTGGAACGGCAAAATATTCCTCGACGGATGCACCGTTGTTGTCAATAGAATGGCCGCCGTCACGGACGTGAGATGGGTTACAGCATGTTCACGTTCGCATCGTGCTCTCTGAGCGACACACCACGTGTTGTTGCCGTTTCAGATGTTTACTGTTGGCAATGCCTCACGCGCTTATTTGAGTGCCTTCTTCAGTTTTACTCTCGCTGCCTTCGTAACGACGAATGAAGAAACACATGTAACACGCCAAAATTGTTTTTTTTTACTTAAATACATTCGCTGCGTTTTCAAACTTCAAGGGCCCTGGGTCAGTCGTTGAAGCCTCAGAGGGAAGGCAAGGGAAGGCAATCGAAGGGGGCTTGCATGTTGGCGACTAACTGGTGGGGAAGAGAGGGTCACTAATCTTACACGGCAGCAGTTGTATGCTATTTTTCCCACCGTCACAGTGGCGATATGTTAACTCTCTCGCCCGGTATGCAGGAGGTCGTGGGTTGGATCCCGACCCTGACGCCTGTATATTTGGAGTCTGCGTGTCTCTCTCCTCGTGGTTAAGTGGCTTTTTCTCCGTATCCTCCGGTTTTTAGAAACATGTGCTTAAGAGTATTTGGAGTTTGTTTGGCTACTATAAATATTCACAATGTTAAGCGACTTCGTTGAGCTATCATTTGTGATGGCCAGGTCGCTTCTGAAAAAGAGCTGTATTGCTCACCCGGCCTTAACTGATAAAGTTGAGTAGTTTTTGGACTTGGTGGGTGGGCTTGGCTGGGATTCCCACGGAAGCCTTACCCAGGCCACGCGAGTACCTGGCCAGGATGCACGGTTCACTCAATCCGGGCCACGTTCAGAGGCGGTCAACACCGTTAGTCAACGGCGCCCCTTGCACAGGTAAATTTCGAGCACTCAGTTTTTCATATTCTTAGTTTTTTCGGTAAAGTCACGTTGAAGGGAAACAACAAAATAATAATATATATATAAAACAATAAAAAATTCTCACGACGCTTCGACCATAACTCAAACGGTCGTCTTCAGGTGTGTTGGTTTGCATAAATTTATTTTTAAACGTCGCATTTATTTATTTATAAAAAACGTTAGCGCCACGCGCAACGATTTGGCCGTTTATTTAGGACTAGTCCATCTATATTCTGAAAAGAGGAGGGGGGAGACGAAATTTTTTATAATGTATGCTGTCTGAAAGCCACTGTAAGCGTGAACAATCAATTAAGACCTGAAATGGTTTATCAAATCTTTCCAATGATTGCTAAGATAGAATCCATCTTCTCGGTTGAAATTGTCTCTGTGCTTGTATATGTGGATAGCCTCATGAACGAATCTCTCATGGAAGCCAGATGGCTTACAAAGAACCTCTGTCTTGGAAAAGTCAATGGCATGTGAGCCTACTGAATTAGAACAATGATCTGCCACGGCCGAGGTGTTGGTCCTACCGTGTTTAAGGTCTGCTTTGTGTTCACGAATGCGGTCCGAGACATGGCGTTTGGTTTCTCCAATGTAACTACTACCACAGAGGCAACTTAGTTTGTAGACACCAGGGTATTGTATGTCCGGAATCACATCTTTTACAGACAGAACCAGATCACGGATTTTATGTAATGTGTTGAAACGGACCTGGATCTTGTGTTTATTCAAGATTTTGGAGATATTTTTTGTGATCCCCGCAATGTAGGGTAAAGTGATGCTTTTGAAAGGCTCCTCAAGAGGGTTCTTCTTCATGGTTTGAGTGATAGCTTTGCGGATTGTATAGTCGGAGTAACCATTAGCCCTAAGAGCTTGGTGTACGTGCTTGAGTTCACTGCTTATGTGTTCCTGGTCGGATATGCATTGGGCTCTATGATACAGAGTCTTGATGAGATAATTCTTCTGTGATGGATGGTGGTGGGAATCCGGTTTCAGATAAGCATCCTACAAACTAAGTTGCCTCTGTGGTAGTAGTTACATTGGAGAAACCAAACGCCATGTCTCGGACCGCATTCGTGAACACAAAGCAGACCTTAAACACGGTAGGACCAACACCTCGGCCGTGGCAGATCATTGTTCTAATTCAGTAGGCTCACATGCCATTGACTTTTCCAAGACAGAGGTTCTTTGTAAGCCATCTGGCTTCCATGAGAGATTCGTTCATGAGGCTATCCACATATACAAGCACAGAGACAATTTCAACCGAGAAGATGGATTCTATCTTAGCAATCATTGGAAAGATTTGATAAACCATTTCAGGTCTTAATTGATTGTTCACGCTTACAGTGGCTTTCAGACAGCATACATTATAAAAAATTTCGTCTCCCCCCTCCTCTTTTCAGAATATAGATGGACTAGTCCTAAATAAACGGCCAAATCGTTGCGCGTGGCGCTAACGTTTTTTATAAATAAATAAATGCGCCGTTTAAAAATAAATTTATGCAAACCAACACACCTGAAAACGACCGTTTGAGTTATCGTCGAAACGTCGTGAGAATTTTTTATTGTTTTATATATATATTATTATTTTGTTGTTTCCCTTCAACGTGACTTTACCGAAAAAACTAAGAATATGAATTACTGCAGTCACGAAAGCTTTAAATCAAAATTCACTCAGTTTTTGTTTAATAAAAAAAAAGCAACAAAAACCGGCAGAAACATTTAGAAGTAGAAAATATTTTTTTTCTGGGGATATCGTCGCCTCGTCCAAGAAAATGGTAGATTTTATTTAAAAAAAATAAAAGTTGCCCAATTCCACTTGAGAGTGTTGGGACAATAATTTGAGCCAAGCTCGGTCCTTCCCCGCACCGTATGTAGCGCCAACCGCGCTAATTGGAAGCACGGCAGAAGAAGGGCGGAGCAATGGCTCAGCTCTGCAGCGTTCCAGTGGCTCGCGGCGGTGATGCGTGCGGCGCTCGTGAAGTGCGTGGGGCGCCCGCTGTGGCAGTGCAGGGGTGACGGTACAGGGGGGTTGCGGTTACGTACACAGAACTTCGAGGGAGCGGTGCGAGCGGAGGGGCGGGCCGCCCCGCAGGGCGGGGTGCTCCACCTGGCACGTGACGGGCGCCCCGTCGTCCTCGGGGGCGGCCAAAAACTCCACGTGGCTCACGAGCGAACTCGTGCGGCCGTTCTCCTCCACCTCCCACGTCGTTTCGCCCGCTGTTCCAAAGACAAAGACAAATATCCCCCCCCCCACCGTGTAGCTTCAAGAGGCTATTGGGGCAAGTGCTGTCAGCGAGTAGCGCCTATGAAGACCGGCACGGCACACGAGGGGGTAGCGTGGCCAGCACCACGCCCGACCGCCTTTGTTTCCCCGGTGGCGATGTTTTTATACACCGCACCAAGTACTCATTTGACCTAGGGGAAGCCCAGGACCGGTTCAGATAATCGTCACTGGTATTGGCCGTGAGCAGGAATCGAACTCGGGTCGCTAGGTTCATAGCGCAGTGTTCTAACCGCTGCGATATCGTCCGCTGCTCACACACACACATGACAGCAATACCATAACAATGCCAACAGTGCCAACAATTACAATAATGACACTTCCGATTAGCAGGGTTGGCTAAGTACGGTGCAAAAGAAGTTCACAATTAGTACGTACATAATAGAGGAGCAATCAACACGTCGTTACCCACATAGTTAAGCGGTGAGTGTGAAATCATGAAAGCCAACCCCCAATCCACACAACAAATAATTTCAAATGGAACATTCGTCACTGAGCCGGCATCTCTACGAACTGGACGTCGATCTAGCAGCAATGATGTACATGCCGTTTTCTGTGGGATTTGAGTGGAAAGGGGAATGTGCAACTTCTGAAATGCCGGCGGACAAGTCTTCTGGAATAAAACGCACCGGCCCTGACCCCGCAAAGGCGTGCATATGAATGATCCCATACGGTAACAGCCACCCCCTGCCTCACCATGTATGTCTGGAGAAATGCACGCATGGATCACCAGTCATGCACGGGTGGACTAAGAGCACACGACCGCGAGGGGGGTGCACACAGATGTCCGCACTCGTACCCAGAGGCAGGGACAAAAATGATTCGGCAACGCTGCACAAATTGATCGCGAGTTCAAGTGTACACTATAGCGGGCATGTGTACATGTGGCAGTCATGTACACAAACACACACAATGAGATCCCCCACCACACCCGGAGAGCCACTCGGACTGTTCGTGTAAGTGATGTTCGCGAGCAACTGTAAATGCAGTCTTGTTCTTATTTTTGAAGCCTTCTTCATTGCCCACTGCCTTGCTCGTCTCTCCGCTCGGCCCCCCCACTCCGTCCCGTCCCTGCCCGATAGCCCTTTAATGACCCTCACGTGTGCCCTCTGTTACGGCCACTCTTTCCTCGGCCTTGGCACTGCCCCTGCCATCTAAATCGCTGTAAATTTGTGCCGCTTTTAAACTCTATTGTCGAGCGCCTTGAGCCAAGGCGCGCTATGCCAATACAAGGCACAGTGTGTAAGTGAGTAGAGTAACCACAACACCAGGCTTGATCGCTTTTGTCTCCCAATTTCTCATATTCCCATTTAAGGTTGAGTCGACCCAAGGAAAAGCCCAGGACAAGTCCTCACACCGTTTCCCACTGATGTTAGCCGTGGCCGGGAATTGAACGCGGGTCGTTAGGGCCGTGGTGCAGCGCGCGAACCACTACGTCATCTCTTGCCATGCACACGGATTCACCCATATCACATTAAGCCGTACTCATCAGGCACGCGTGACGCATCACATTCCAATACTTGAACATAAATGACATGTGCAACGCGTTGCCCACAGAGGCAAAGCTGGAATTACATTAGCGTCAAATTCCATTACAATGATGATGCATTAAACAAAAAAACAACAACAAAAACCCCCCCAATATTGGCTTGTACACACGTTTCCGAAATAAACATTCAGCCCTTTTAGCAACAACAACAACAACAAAAAAAACCACAACCGCACGCGTTTGTGTGCACACGAAACGTGCGTGCACGCACATACATAATGAATCCTGCCCGGCAATTCCCTTTCACATGCCTCTCTCGTCTGGGCTCCAAGGCCCGCCTCCCCTCTCTTATCTCTCTCAGTTCACTTCTCCCCTTGGCACCCACCCTCCAACTCCCGCGGCTGCCACTCGCACACATCAGACATTCGGCTCGGACAGCACAGCAGCCACGGACGGTGTCTCCCCATCCGATGCTCGTGCACGGCGCACTGAGCGCTTCCGCTGGGCCACAAGGGGGGTCGCGAGCCGCCGCCACAGAAAAGATGAAACTGTCCAACGGATTGCTTGACACGTTGGCTTTCACGGCCAATATTGCCCATAATAACCGTACTTAATTGGCTGTGGCTGTGTCGGGTGGTGGCGGGTTTAACGACACATTTATGGTTACGCGATCTAAACCCCTCCCGCCCCCCCCCCACCCCCCCCTCCCAAAAATAACATTTTTACGTCCACGGATTGTTGCATGGTCAAACTGTGAGACATGGCACTGGGCTTCGGGAAGCCGTAATCCAGCAGTAGATGAATCGAGATGGACGACGATGACGTTCGCCGAAGAGATGTCACGGTGGGCTGTAGGTTAAAAAAAAAAAAAACATCTTTCATATGTGTTCCTAGGCCACACGTTTCCATGGAATCGTATGGCCCAGTTTTATATTTAACAGTATTAACACATTGTTAATTAGGATTGGTGGCGAAAAATAACAATCGTAACCTTGTTTGTCGCGGGGTGTGGGGAAGTTGAAGCAGGTTTAACCTTTATGCGGTATCCCTGAATTAATCTTATAATTAGCACGACCGCAGTTTTCATTACTTTCCAGCGGCGTTATTAAGCTCGCGTAGAACGCACGGCGTTCAGGGACCGCACGCGATAAGACTTCACGTAGCCTCAAAACACGGGGGAAGCCTCCGTGCACTTTCGGGGCCGCGACGACACCGTGAGAGGGAAGCAGGATAGCAATCAGTCGCGAGCATAAAACACACCGACATTAATAAGTAAGGAGCCTGAGCCATGGGTAAAAACCAAGGAAGGGTCTCCCTCTCTCTCTTCTTGCAAAAGGTGTAAATTTCCCTTTACATGACGGGGGGGGGGGGGGGGGGGGGGGGCTGCTTTGCTATGGCCCAAAATCTCAGCACGGCGCCACGCTGGAAGGGAGTCACACACGGCCATCACAACTTCTCCGCTGCACGACCCGTCAGGATGTGAATTCAGGTGCCATGGTTAGAGACGGCGGAGTGGAGGCGGTTCGGCTATGTGTGTGTGTGTAAGCGCGCGACTGAACTCGCATCGCACGGGCGGGTATCGCTCAACTTTCATAGCAACAAGGTTGACACACACACAAAAAAACAACAGCTGCTGTTGTTGAGACTCATAGGTGAGGAATCCAAGCCCTCCCCCAAACCCCCCCCCCCCCCCCCCAATGGATTTCCTAGCAGCCGTTTGATGAAGGCTCCATCTTCTCTCTCGAGGTTGTCCTCCTGGGGACTCAGTGATGTTGCTCTGCCTGCCTGGGCTGTCTCTGGGGCTCATTGGTGGTAGTGTTGTTGTTGTTGATCCCGTGCCCAAAGTTGCATTTATCCCAGGTTGCGTTGCAGTGTTTCTTTCCCCTTCATATTTCATTCTACCCCCCCCCCCCCCCCCCAATAAACTAAACCAATTTTATCTTATCAGGCAAGGCCCACTGAGCTATATGGCTATTTTTCAGAAGCGACCTGGCGATCACAAATGCTAGCTCAACGAAGTGGCCCATCATGTGGATATTTATAGCAGCCAAAAAAACCAACCTCTGAACGCGTGATGTTGATTCTAAACGTGGAGTGGAAACCCGAAGGACCCGGGAGAAAAATCCACGCAACCACGTGAAGAACATGCGAACCGCAAATATACAGCAGCCGTCAGGGTCGGGATCGAATCCACAACCTCATGCATACCAGGCGAAGGAGTTAACATCTCGCCACCACAGCGCAAAAATAGGGTTTTCCGCCCCCACACCCCGTTTCAGTAAAGTGTTTAGAGGTGCGTTTGTAATGAGGTACTTTACACACTTACATCGTTACTGTGGTTGTTGTCTGCAGTCATCGTTAATGCTGCTTTAGACGGCCTCGCAACTCAAATGTAGGATAACATTTGAAGTTTGGTTTGTTATCGTGTGGATCTTCATGTGAGGAATAATATTGCGTCGCACTTACGTTTCGAAATATCCCTTCCCAGTCAGTGTTTTTATTGGAAATTTGGGTGGACTTCTTGGTCGTTAGGAATGCAGTGGCTGTTGAACGGTACAATATTACACAGCTAAAATGTATCTTACTGGAAGCTGTTTTATTATATGTTAATAATATATATACTACATTATTATTTATTGTTAATTAATTGTTAACATCAGGTTTATGACGGAATATGCTCAGGCCATTTGTTCAATGAAAAAAATATATATTTATTTATACAAGAAAGCCACAAAGACTCCAACGATTCTGTTTCAGGAGGGTCCTGCTACATTGAGTTTTTATTTTAAGATGTTTTCAACCAATCTATGAGTGTTTATACAAGTGGGAGAGAACCGAGGCACCCAGATACATCCCCATGTAAACTATGTATTTGACCAGGTATGGCCCTCTGATCCATGTAGCTTCTTTGCAGAAGCAACCTGGCCATCACAAATGATAGCTCAATGAAGCGACCTATCACGTGGAAATGTATAGCAATCAAATAATCTAAATGTACGTTGATTCTAAATATGTAGAGAAAAACCTGAGTACTCAGAGTAAAATCCACACAATCACAGGGAGGGAGACATGCAAACTCCAAATATGCAGCAGGCGTCAGGCGGGATCGAACCCACAACCTCCTGTATACCAGATGAGGTAGTTAACATCTTGCAACCATGCACGAGGGGGCAATACTATATCCCCATACAGATGGAAACAGATGGCGATTACTTCACTTGCAGTACCGCCATCTCCTGGCGAGCCAGGGTATGGCACCTCCAACATTTGTGCAGTGATCGACCAACCCTCGCTGCTGCCTTCATAGTGCTGGGTCACAGGCCACGTGCGTAGCCACTACTGGCCCGCCGCTGTTACCCAGATGTATCTTGAAAAAGGAATGTTAGTCTCAGTGGCTCTCACCTGCTACAGTAAAGGGTGGTGTACGCTACATGTAGGTGATACCAA